AGAGGAGTGGACATAGAAGACATGTCAGGTGTGAGTTAATAATGGCAGCAGCTAGAATTGGATTTTATTGCCAAAGAAGGCAGACGGGAACTCAGCTTCTGCACAGCCTCCCGAGATCACTGTATTCCCCAGTTGTAGCTCCTTCCAAAGATGTATTCTTCCTGCCAAGCCTGGCCGTATGAGTTGTTGGAAGGGATTGGTTTCAGCACTCAACATGTTTTTCAGAGATGCTGGGGTAGTCTTAGTGCCAGCAAAATAAACAAATGCTCCTTACTCAAAGGCTGGTATTGATATCCTCCCTTCCTTTCATAAGGTCTTTGGTTCTAGTTATATAGAAACATCCCTCAAACTGTGCTTCTTTAAGGTCTCCTCTGATTTTTTTTTTCTAAACTAGAATAACAGAGCAATCTCAGTGATCAAATCATTATTGTATGAAAGGTTATGGCTTTGGGAATGTTTATTACAGACTTATGGGTCACAGGAAGCAACAACAAAGATGAATAAGACTGAATGTTTGAAAAGGGGGTATTGGTTAAATAAATCAGGCTACTTCAATACAAGGACATGATAAACATCCAGGGGAAAAATAGGATTTTTTAAATCAGTAAAACCTGTATCTTATTCCAATGTCAATTAAAAAAAAAAAACCCACCAACTGCTATGAAAACAGGTCAACTAGGTTCACAAGAGAACCCAAAAGCTCTTCTTAATAAAATACATCCAACTCCACTGTCTTCACATCCTTCTCTTCTGTGTACTGATACAACGCATTGTTTCCTCAGATGAGCACATTGCCATATTTGTTCTTCAACTGTCCATTTGTATGCTCTTCCGTCTGTTCCAGTGCTATATTCATGTAGCCATCCAGGCAGGCCAGGACCCCTCCATAATCCACGCCAGAATTTGATTTCACCACAACTGGTAGCCCAGTGATCTGCTTCAAGAAATCACTAGGGATTTGTTTCTGCACACTCCTTTTTAACAGTTCGGAGAGGCAGGAAACCCGATTTCTCATCTCCTCTGCTCCTTAAATAGCTCTGCAGCATGGGTGGCTCCTCACCATTTCAACTGTCATGTCCCCAAGCTCATCTCACAGCCGGATCCGGAGCCCTCACGGGCCGGGCATCCATGAACATGTGCGGCAAAAAACAGAAAAAGAAATTATATATATAATATGTAACATATGTGAAGAAAATACAATGTTCAAAGGCAATTCACATCAAATAGAATATTATGTTATTATTCCAACTACCATTGCCCAGACAAACCAAGCGGCACACATGCCGACAGGCAGACTGGAGTCACCTGACTGGATGACGGATCTGCAAACAACTCTAACGATCGTCTTTTTGTCCTCACATGCACGCATGTTATGAGAACATGTGTATGTGCAGTTTAACTTTTCTACCAAAGAAACGGTGCAAATCCGAGCATGCTGCTGCTTCTGCTTGCAGCAGTCAATGCAAAGACTTAACTGTTGCTGTGACCATGGTAACAATCCGTTGTGCACAGTGCTCGTGAATGATTTAATTCATTTTGGGACCATTGCTTTTTAAGTTAATTTGAACAATTTCATGTGTGTATGCCGTATTGTGAAAGTATTCACCCTTGTTGCCTCGTATCTCTCTTCTACTCCTGATTCTCTTTCTTTCCCCCAAGTATCTCTTCTCCTCCTTTCATGTCGTGTGTGTGTGTGTGTGTGTGTGTGTGTGTGTGTGTGTGTACACAGGTAGCCACAGCTGCTATGTTCATGATTATATTGGCCATGCATACTTGGAACACAGTATTTTGTAAGACTCCACTCCTTCAGCTCCCTCTCGTGCTCTGTCTGTCTGTCTGTCTGTCTCTAAGGCCCAGGGTCTTAGGTTCTTGTTTAGGGACAAGTACTCAGTAGCCAGTCTCTACATTAACCATTGCTCACTACAGAAAGAAACCTCTATCCAAGGTGGATGGCTGCACTGGTATGGGGACCTGGCAACTGCCAGAATTAATTGTTTTTGTAAATATAAGCGAGCATGCATTCAGATTTTTAATCAATGTGTTACTGAGATCAGGTTTGCGTGGGTATATAAAAAAGAGAAGAGGGAGGCTATGGGCTGAATACAGTGAAAGCTTGTGTCCTTCAGCAGGGAGAAGGTGAGGCCATCATGGAGAACGTGACAATGGGTACTGCAAATACTGGAGCATGTTTCTCTTTCTCCTCGGACCACCTTGGCTTGGCACTGAGGAGCTATGGGATGGTAATGGACCTGCTCAGGGGAAGTCTGACAGTTACTAGGAGGCCTGTGGATGGTAACGTACCTGTGGGGTCATAATGTACCTGCTCAGGGGAAGTCTGACCATCTGTGGATATTTCCTCATGGCATAGAACACTTTTCAGAGTTAAGTCTACAAAGATATTTAGAGCCACTGAAAGCGCATGAATAATAACAAGTCTCCTTGCTTCCCGAAAATATATTTCCATCTAATATGTATATATTTCCATATCTCTACATCTCTGTCAGTTATTGCTTCCATCATTCAAGTACAGTAAAAGCTCATTTTTAAATTAAATAAAAAATGGAAAACAATTACATATATGTTGGCTTTAATACAGACTTCAAGCTTTTAATAATTTAAAAATGAAGGCGATCTAATTTACAAGTCAAGAGAAGTTTCATCATTTTTTTGATATTTTCCCCAAATTGCTCTTTCTTCCTTATAAAATGTTAATTTAATTTAACTGACAGTAATGAGAATTGCAACTGAGCAGATAACATATATACAGTTTTTCTCCGTGAAGCTATGACATCATCTTGGAAAATGTACTCTTTATTTTAAAACAAATTCAAATATTTTCAAATAAAGTCAAAGACTTATTCCAGTAGTGAATTCAGAAAATTACTCTTCATGTAAGGGAGTTTTTAAAGAACTATATTATAAGATAGTTTTAAAATTTTTTTATTGATTCTTTGTGAATTTCATATCCTGTACCCCAATCCCACTCATCTCCCTATCCCTCTCTATCTGGCCTCTGCCCTCGCAACCTCCTCAAAAGAAAACAAACAAAACAAATGAAAATAACAACAATAACCAACATCTTGTCATAGAAGCTGCACTGTGTCACCCATGTCATGCAGCACACCCTTTTGCCCACACATCTTTACTTAAAAATGATCATCGCAATGGTCATTGGTCTGGTCTAAGGCCTCTGGGTTCTGCTCTACTGGATTCTCATTGAGACTGCTCTCGAATCCTGTTGTTGCCCTGTGTCATGGAGATCCTGCAGCTTTGCTTCTGCAGGACTTGCTCCTTCACTGCACTCCAGCAGTTCATAGATGAGGTAGATGTCAGGGTAGGACAACTCAACGCCCTGGATCTGGGCTTGGGTGGTAGCTGCATTGTTCAGCCTATCTCTCCTGTGCCTGTGCCACTGAGCTCTCCAGCTTTGCCCAGGCAAGGGACAGGGAGGGCTGTCCTGCTGTGGCAGCCAGCAAGAGCACAGTCACTTCTCCTTCACTCATACTGTCAGGGCCAGCTCTACTGTGCTTCCTGGGCAAGGCACAGTGACCCCTCTTCTAAGTGCAGCAACTGGTGAGGAGCAGGGCCAGGTTGCTCACTGTCAGGCCCTCAGAGCCAGCTCTTTCATGATTCCATGGTGAGGGCTACCAGCTCTCCTGTACTCATACTCTGTGGGAGGCTCACCTGCACCCACACCACATGGGCCAGCTCTACTGTGCGGCCCAGGCGAGGGGTGGGACTGCACTCCTGCATGGGGTGGGGCCAGCTCTCCTGCCTGCCTCAGGTGGCAAGGGGAAGGCAGGGAGAGGGCAGGCATCTCTCCTTCGCTGATAACCCTGTGGCCAGACAATGAATGAGACCAGCTCCACAAGCTGGTAGCCCCTCTTACAATAACATGGCCCAAGGTAGCAGTCTGGCCCAGGGACGTCTGCATGGCCTTTGGTGGTAACATGGGCCAAGGACATGGACACAGATGCCCTGTTGCTGCAGGGCCTTGGACCCAGACATGACCCTTGGTGGCAGCACGGCCTGATACATCACCATGGCCTCAAGTGGTAGTGAAGGCTACTCATTGCAGGGTATTTCTTATCGCCCTCCTGTCCCCAGTTCTGCATCTCTTCATGGTACACACATCCTTCCACTTCTCTTTCTTCTCCATCTCTCTACCACTTACTTGCTCATGATAGTGGTGCCTGCCTGCCCAGGAGAATGCGTCTTGTGTCTGCCTGCCGGCAGCACACAGTGGGTGGGTGTCTCTCAAAGGATATTTTTTTATGGGTCATAACTTACTTAGCTCTCTCTCTTTCAGTCTGGGAGGAGCAGAGTTTGGTTGTGTGGTATGAATGTTATGTTTGTTTGTTCATTGTTTTGGTTGAAATTCATCATAAAAAGCTGAAAACTTATTTTACAATAAAAGAGAAAATTAAAGTCAACTTTCTAGGGAAAAAAGGAGTTGAAAATAGTATTATGAGAAAAAGAACTCGGAAATGTCAGGAAGTGTAAGAATATTCAATGGCTCTTATAGACTCTATTAAAAGAGGAAACCTCTTGGATTTTGTTGAAGCACATACTTGCACAAGATAAAACTTTTCTGCTTGGTGTGTATTTTGGGACTAGAACAGGGATTTCTGAGAAATATTTTCTTATTTATTTAAAGAGGTGAATATGATTTTATTAATCTATTCTTCTACCTATTTCTAATACCTCTCACTGGCCCAGGTACCATATTTTCAAAAACCCTATTCAGTTGCTGTGGGAACATTAATTCAAAGTAATGAATGGCTGTGAATACAGCATCTTAAAAACATAAAACCATCTTAATATTCTCCTTTTTCATCCACTGAGGCCAAAGTTTACCCATGAGTGAGAGAGAGAAAGTAATCATTCAGATAACCTAGTTACATGTTTGATGCTGTTGATACTCTTTCCTCTTAAAGTAGAGTCCACTTGTCCACTCTCAGCCCTAGGGCTAGCCTTAATAATGCATTTGTAATCTACAAATGTTGCAGAATTGGCTTTGTCTGGCATCTAAGGATACATCAGGGAGAATTCTAATTGGTGTGTCCTCAGATCTAAGGCTTTGTGGTGGTATTCATTTCTCATTCATCCATCTGGCTAAATGGATGAAGGATGAGGTGGCTACCGCCACAGCAGCTGGAAAAGAAGTTATACTAGCTGGAATTAGTGAAAAAATTAGGAGCATACTTACTTCTTACTTTGACCAATTTTTGGTGTCGTTAACAAATGTGGGATAAAAGCTCCCTACTTTGGGGGATTTGCCAATCATTGCTCTTGACTTGCTAAATTCTGGATAAGAGTTTGATGAAGGCTCTATCATTTTTAATCAGCTGAAGTCTGTTATCACCTAAAAGACAGAAGAGAAGACCATCTTCTCTCTCAACGCCATAGCAAATGCAGAGAGCATGAGCACTCTGATGATATTGATGCTGATGTGCTGCAGAATTATCAGGAATACAATCTGGCCAACATCATCTACTACTCCCTGAAGGGGTCCACCACCAGTGAGCAGAGTGCCAGGATGATGGCCATGGGCAACGCCAGCAAGAACGCTTCTGCTATGATTGACAAATTAACCTCGATGTTTGAATGCACGTGTCAGGCTGTCATCATGAAGGACATGGTTGAATTCATCTCTGGGGCAGCTGCTCTGGATGAATGAAAATCAAGATGCAGCCTCAGACAAGAGGAAAAGAAGGAAAACAGCAAGCTGATATTAAGTGGTCACTGTCTTTGGCATAAGAAACCTTATCCCCTGAATTACAAAGACAGCAAGATATTTGTAAATTATCTTACAATAAACAAATTGAGAAAAAAAATAGCCTAAAAACTCATCCTTACTGTGCCATTTAAAAAATTCTTATCCAGTAGTACAATCCTATTGATTTTTTTAATCATCCAGCTTGTTGTGTTGTTGTTTTCCTCATCTTTTTTTAATTATGTAGCAATGGATGCCTGCTATATCATGTAATTTTAGACAAGAAAAATATGAGTAAATATTTGGATAATATGATGTCAATATGCTCTGAAACTTGACTTCTGAGATGCAAGGAACTGGTTACATGTTCTTTGTGGTTTTGATGAAGTATAAGTTAATAGGTGCCTTTAGTTTTCAGTATAATAGAATCATGTGATGTTTTCATTTCAGGTCTTCAAATACTTGTAGCTGAACAGAAGAATTTCCTTTATGTTTTCCTAAGGAAGACAGATATCACTTTCTACTGTACTCTAGCCTCAGCCTTTGGACATTTCTATTTTCAGTCACTAATAAATGCTATTTCATTTTCCGACTCTGATGTGGTGACATATGCTAATTCCCCTGCCAACCACTTACACAGTCTCACTGGCTTTCAGCTTTCCTGGGATCTCTTTGGGGCTGTAGAGAAGGCTTAGTCACTCAGTGCTGCATTTCCTGGAAAGCTTTGGATTCCGACTTTGGATCAAATGAATATAATTTTTAACACTAAAAAAAATAAATAAATGTAATAAAACAAGTTTAGGTTTAAGGAGCTTCAATTTAAGTGGTTCTTTTTTATTGCAATAACACTTCAGACACATTAGATGGCTATGTGTTTTTTTTAATCTAATTATGTTGAGGAGGAGAATATCATTCTATTCAAGAGAACACTTGAAGTGTGTTGCTTGTCTCTTTTGTTCATTTTTTATTCAGAAATTATAAAACATTCCTCTTTGCCTTTATAAACATATAATCAAAGTTATTTGCTTATGAGAAAAGTTTTTGAATCATTATTGTCTAGCATTAACATGCTAGACAATGAAGTTTAAAGTGGATAAAATGCTTATAATTTCCCAGAATCTGTTAGAAATATCTATTTATCTTGTCTTTTGTCTTGCAATCATTATCATGCAGCAGCATCATAAATTACCAACCAGACTCTGGCCAGGGAAGCAGGTAGGCTAACTGCAGGTTTCACCTCTCCTTCCTCCCCTCCAAATGCTATCCTCCAGCCTTGCCCTTCACTTCACAGAAGACTACCTGGTATGGCTTCCCCCTCCTCTCTGCCCTCATCTTCAGCGGATCATACAGATCTTCCACTCCAACCTTCCTCCCCACTCGTCCTGCTCTCTCAGCCCCCACTCCAGCATCCATTCTCCAAGAAGTTCCCAGCCACGCCTGACAGAGAATCAGGGAGGCTAATGAAGCAACATCAGAAACAACAGAAAGCTTAGAACCTTTTCGAAACCGAACAGCTCACTACTGAGTAAAATATGGATCAAGATACAAATTAGGAAAGAAATTAAAGACATTCTAGACTTGAATGAAATGAATACATAGCATACTTATGGACACAATGAAAGTGTTTCTTAGAGGCAAGTTCACAGCACTCAGAACCTACATTTAAAAAAAAAGGAGTTATCTCATGCTAGTAACTTAACAGCTCACCTGAGAACTCTAGAATAAATGAAAAAGTAACACCCAAAACAACTCAATAGCAAGACATAATCAGACTCACCAAACTCATGGCTGAAATCAATAAAATAGAAACAAAAAAACAAACAAAATACAAAGAATCAACTAAATAAAGTTTGTTCTTTGAAAGAATCAATAAAATAGACAAATCTTTATCTTTAACTAAAAGTCACAGAGAGAACATCCAAATTAACAAAATTAAAAATGAACAGCGGAACATAACAACAGATACCAAAGGAATTCTGAGAATCATAAGGACATACTTTAAAAAGGTATACTGAAAAAAAAAACCCAATAAAATAAATAAAAAACTCTACTCCATCAAATTAGAAAATCTAAAAAAAAAGAAAGAAAGTAAACAATTTTCTTGATTTATACCACTTACAAAAGTTAAATAAAGATTAGATAAGCAATTTAAACAGACATATATTTCCTAGGGAAATTAAAATCTACCAACCAAAACAAGCTCCAGGACAGATGGTTTTATTGCAGAACTCTACCAGATTTTCAAAGAATTAATGCCAATACACCCCAAATTATTCCACAAAATATACACAAAAGAAACATTGCCCAATTCATTTTATAAGGTCATAGTTGCCCTGAAACCCAAATCACATAAAGAGCCAACTGGGGAAGAGAATTATTAATTTTTCTTATAGACATAGATGCAAAAATTCTCAATCAAGTATTTGTAAACCAATATCAAGAACACATCAAAAGATCATTCATCTGATTGAGTAGGCTTCATCCCAGTGATACACAAATGGTTCAATATATATAAATTGATAATAAAATCCACCATATAAACTAACCTAAAGACAAAAAAAAAGATAACATGGTCATCTTATTAGATGTAGAAAAGGCCTTTGATAAAATCCAAAACTTCATGATAAAAGTTCTGGAAAGATTGTGAATATAAGGGGCATATCTCAACATAATAACAATTTAAGGCCAGCCAATATTCAGCATCAAGTTAAACAAACAATTCTATCAAAATCAGGAACAAGACAAGATTGTCCACTTGCTCCATACCTAGTCAATATAATACTTAAAGTCTTAGCTAGAGCAATAAGAGAAGTGCAGGAGACCAGTAGAATGCAATTAGGAAGGGAAGTGTCTTTATTTACATATAAAGTGTCTTTATATGTACAATAGTACATATAATGATCTCAAAAAATCTACCCGGGAACTTTTACAGCTAATAAATACGTTCAGCAAAAGAGCTGGATATAAAATTAATTCACAAAAAAAAAATCAATAGCCCTGTTATATAAAAATGACAAATGGACTGAAAAATAAATTAAGGAAACAGCAGCTTCAATAATATTAAAAATAATATTTCACAAAAGCCTCAGGTAGTATAAGATATCTTGATGTAATTATAACCAAGCAAAGGAAAGACTTGTATGATAAAAAGTTTAAGACATTGAAGAAGGAAATTGAAGATATCAAAAGTTTGAAAGATCTCGCATGCTTGTGATCAGTAGGATTAATATAGTAAAATTTACCATCCTATCAAGAGCTATCTAAAGATCCAAAGCAATCCTCATTAAAATTCCAACACAGTTTTTCACAGAATTTGAAAGGACAATTTTGAACTTCTTATGGACAAAGAAACAAACAAACAAAAACAAAAACAGGATCACAAAAAACAGTTATATATAATAAAAGAATAGCAAGTTGCATTACCATTCCAAATTTCAAGTTGTACTACAGAGCTTTAGCAATAAAAACACCATGGTATAGACATAAAAATAGATGCATTGATCAATAGAATCAAATCAAAGACCCAGACACACATATAGACAACTAATTTTTGATAAAGACGTGAAAACAAGACAGCATTTTCAACAAATGGTGCTGGTCAGACCTATTGTCAGGATATTGAAGACTTCAAATAGATCCATACTTACCACCCTGTATACAACTCAAGTCTAAATGGATCAAAGACTTCAACATAAGTCCAGGTATGCTGAAACTGATAGGAGAGAAAGTGGGGGATAGTCTTGAACTCACTGACACAGGAGAAGACTTTCTGAACAGAAAGCTCTAATCAGAGGCATTAAGATCAACAATAATTGGGACCTCCTGAAACTGAGAAGCTTCTCTATGGCAAAGGATACCATCATTTAGACTAAGTAGCAGGCTACAGAATTGGAAAAGATTTTTTCCCAGCTACACATCTGGTGAAGAAATAATCTCCAAAATATGTAAATATTAAAAACTAGATATCAAGAAAACTATTAACTCAATTAAAAATTATGTACAGATTTAAATAAAGAATCCTCTAAAGGGGAACCTCAAATGGCAGAGAAACACTTAAAGAAATGTTCAACATCTTTAGCTATCATGGAAATGAAAATTGAAACTACTTTGAGATTTTAAATTACATCAGTCAGAATGGCTAAGACCAATAAATCAAATGATAGCTCATGCTGGCAAGGATGTGGAACAAGAGGAACACATTACTAATGGGAGTGCAACTTGTATAGCAACTACCGTTGAGAGAATATCTTGTGCATTATATGGATGCATCGCCACTCAATTAAAATGCTATGCCATATAGGATAGGTAGACTAGAAGGTAAGACATTCCACAGGGAGAAAGAATTCTGGGAGAGAGCCAGACACAAGAGATTCTCCTGGGAAGATTGGCGGAGGATAGATGTATGGTACCTGAGTAGAGGTAACCAGCCACATGGCAGAGCTTAGTTTAGTATAAGTGGGTTATTTTAAGTGATGAGCTAGTCAGAGAAAAGCCTAGCTATATAGCCTAAGTATTTGTAAATCTATTTCATGAGTCATTATTCTGGGAGCCTAGGGCTGGAAGGATAAGGAACTGTGACATTCTTTGGGAATCAGCATGGCAGTTCCTCAGGAAGATGAGAATCAACCTACTTCACTTATAGGTTCAAAAGCTCCAGTTGTAACACTTTTGGGCATATACCCAAAGGTCACTTTATCCTACCACAGTGACACTTATTCAACCATCTTCATTGCTGCTCTATTCATAACAGCCAGAAATTGGAAACAACCAAGATGTCCCTCAACAGACAAACGGGTCAAGAAAATGTAGTACATTTACACAATGGAATATTACTCTTACTCAGCAATTCTTTAAAAAAAGCAAAATCATGAAATTTACAGGTAAGTGGATGGAATAAGTCAAACATTATCCTGATTGAAGTAACCTAAACTCCAAAATACAAATATGTTATGTATTCATGTGTG